GAGTACCCTCCCCTCCTGCCTCCTGCACGGCACCCCCCCAACCCCCTTCATCCCCTCTGGTACCCTGCCCCCCTCCTGCTCCCGTACCTGTGGGTCCCCGACCCCCCCATCACCCCACGGCAGGGCTGGGTTCCCCCAGAGTCTGACCCTGCTCTGCCCCCAGGCTGGATCCACGCCGTGCTGACCCCCATCGACTGCCTGGCTTTCGGGGGCAACTTCCTGCACAGCCTCAACATCGAGATGCAGCTCAAGTGAGTGTCGGGGGCACCGGAGCCCCCCAGCCCCGCCCCAGGGACACTGACCCTGCCGGGGGGTGGGCTTGGTACAAAGCGCTCTGGGAAAGAGCCCATGTTGCGGCCGTCCCCAGGCTGCGTTATATGTAGCTGGTCCCCAGCTGCCCCGCCCCAGAGGTGGCTGCATCTCAGCGCCGGGTGAGCTGGCCCCGAGCTGCCCCGGCCCAACCTGGCTCGGTTGTCTCTCCCGGCAGGGCCTACGAGATAGAGAAGCGTCTGAGCACGGCCGATCTCTTCAGATTTCCCAACTTTGAAACTATCTGCTGGTACGTCGGCAAACATCTCCTGGACATCTTCCGAGGTGAGCGGGGCCGGTGGGGGGGCGGCGGAGGTGAGGGGGGCCGGTGGGGGGGCGGCGGAGGTGAGGGGGGCCGGGGGGGGCGGCGGAGGTGAGGGGGGCTGGGGGGGCCGTGTCCTATCCCCTGAGCCCTACCTGTGCCTCTCGCCCCTCCAGGCCTGCGGGAGAACCGCCGACACCCGGCCGCCTACCTGGTGCACGGAGCGAAAGCTCTGAACACGGCGTTCCGCGCCTGGACCCGCAGAGAGGCAAGTGGCTCTGATCCGGGGGCCGGGCGCGATCCCCAGCTGGGCGGAGCCGGAGGGAGGAGAACGCTCAGTTCCAAGGAGCCGTCGCGCCCACCCCAGCGTCAGCCGCAGCTCGGGGCTAGCGGGGGGGGACGTTGGGCTTACAGAGGCGCCGGCTCTGGGTTGTGTCTGTTCCACGACCTGTGTTAGCTCGACTCACAGCGCACCCCGGAGTTCCCGTGGGACACCCCCCCCCCCACGCCCTCGCCAGGAGCCCTGCCGGGGGCTAGAGCCGGGCTCTCAGATCCGCACAGGGGCCTCCCAAGCCTGACCAGACCCAAGCGCCGGAGCCCCCAGTAACCGCCCCCCCTTCCCCCAGGTGCTGGAGGAACACGAGGACGAAATCCCCGGCACCGTGCGTCCTGCGCAGCTCATCAAAGACCTGGCCAAGGAAATCCGCCTGGTCGAGGTGCGGGGCAGCCCTGGCACTGGGGGGCACCATGGGGCAGGGGGCTCTCCCCTGGCATTCGGGGCTGGGCGCTGGGGCGGGTAGGGGCTCTCCCCTGGCAGGCAGGACTGGGGACTGTGGGGCGGGGGCCGGGCACTGTGAGGGAGAGGGCACTGCGGGGC